GTATCTTTTCCGACCACAACGCTATGAGACAAGATATCAATTACAGGAAAAGATCTGTAAAAAATACAAACACATGGAGGCTAAACAATACACTGCTTAATAACAAAGTGATCACTGAAGAAATCAAAGAGAAAATAAAAAAATACCTAGAAACAAATGACAGTGGAGACACGATGACCCAAAACCTATGGGATGCAGCAAAAGCAGTTCTAAGAGGGAAGTTTATAGCAATACAAGCCCACCTTAAGAAACAGGAAACATCTTGAACAAACAACCTAACCTTGCACCTAAAACAATTAGAGAAAAAACAAAAAAACCCCAAAGCTAGCAGAAGGAAAGAAATCATAAAAATCAGATCAGAAATAAATGAAAAAGAAATGAAGGAAACGATAGCAAAGATCAACAAAACTAAAAGCTGGTTCTTTGAGAAGATAAACAAAATAGATAAACCATTAGCCAGACTCATCAAAAAAAAAAAAAAAGGGAGAAGACACAAATCAATAGAATTAGAAATGAAAAAGGAGAAGTAACAACTGACACTGCAGAAATACAAAAGATCATGAGAGATTACTACAAGCAACTCCATGCCAATAAAATGGACAACCTGGAAGAAATGGACAAATTCTTAGAAATGCACAACCTTCCAAGAATGAATCTGGAAGAAATAGAAAATATGAACAGACCAATCACAAGCACTGAAACTGAAACTGTGATTAAAAATCTTCCAACAAACAAAAGCCCAGGACCAGATGGCTTCACAGGCGAATTCTATCAAACATTTAGAGAAGAGCTAACACCTATCCTTCTCAAACTCTTCCAAAACATAGCAGAGGGAGGAACACTCCCAAATTCATTCTATGAGGCCACCATCACCTTGATACCAAAACAGGACAAGGATGTCACAAAGAAAGAAAACTACAGGCCAATATCACTGATGAACATAGATGCAAAAATCCTCAACAAAATACTAGCAAACAAAATCCAACAGCACATTAAAAGGATCATACACCATGATCAAGTGGGGTTTATTCCAGGAATGCAAGGATTCTTCAATATATGCAAATCAATGTGACAGACCATATTAACAAATTGAAGGAGAAAAAACATATGATCATCTCAATAGATGCAGAGAAAGCTTTCGACAAAATTCAACACCCATTTATGATAAAGACCCTGCAGAAAGTAGGCATAGAGGGAACTTTCTGCAACATAATAAAGGCCATATATGACAAACCCACAGCCAACATCATCCTCAATGGTGAAAAACTGAAAGCATTTCCACTAAGATCAGGAATAAGACAAGGTTGCCAACTCTCACCACTCTTATTCAACATAGTTTTGGAAGATTTAGCCACAGCAATCAGAGAAGAAAAGGAAATAAAAGGAATCCAAATCAGAAAAGAAGAAGTAAAGCTGTCACTGTTTGCAGATGACATGATACTATACATAGAGAATCCTAAAGATGCTACCAGAAAACTACTAGACCTAATCAATGAATTTGGTAAAGTAGCAGGATACAAAATTAATGCACAGAAACCTCTTGCATTCCTATACACTAATGATGAAAAATCTGAAAGTGAAATCAAGAAAACACTCCCATTTAACACTGCAACAAAAAGAATAAAATATCTAGGAATAAACCTACCTAAGGAGACAAAAGACCTGTATGCAGATAATTATAAGACACTGATGAAAGAAATTAAAGATGATACAAAAAAGATGGAGAGATATACCATGTTCTTGGATGGGAAGAATCCACATTGTGAAAATGACTCTACTACCCAAAGCAATCTACAGATTCAATGCAATCCCTATCAAACTACCAATGGCATTTTTCACAGAACTAGAACAAAAAATTTCACAATTTGTATGGAAACGCAAAAGACCCCGAATAGCCAAAGCAATCTTGAGAACGAAAAACGGAGCTGGAGGAATCAGGCTCCCTGACTTCAGACTATACTACAAAGCTACAGTAATCAAGACAGTATGGTACTGGCACAAAAACAGAAAGATAGATCAATGGAACAGGATAGAAAGCCCAGAGATAAACCCACGCACATATGGTCACCTTATCTTTGATAAAGGAGGCAGGAATATACAGTGGAGAAGGGACAGCCTCTTCAATAAGTGGTGCTGGGAAAACTGGACAGGTACATGTAAAAGTATGAGATTAGATCACTCCCTAACACCATACACAAAAATAAGCTCAAAATGGATTAAAGACCTAAATCTAAGGCCAGAAACTATCAAACTTTTAGAGGAAAACATAGGCAGAACACTCTGTGACATAAATCACAGCAAGATCCTTTTTGACCCACCTCCTAGAGAAGTGGAAATACAAACAAAAATAAACAAATGGGACCTAATGAAACTTCAAAGCTTTTGCACAGCAAAGGAAACCATAAACAAGACCAAAAGACAACCCTCAGAATGGGAGAAAATATTTCCAAATGAAGCAACTGACAAAGGGTTAATTTCCAAAATTTACAAGCAGCTCTTGCAGCTCAATAACAAAAAAACAAAAAACCCAATCCAAAAATGGGCAGAAGACCTAAATAGACATTTCTCCAAAGAAGATATACAGACTGCCAACAAACACATGAAAGAATGCTCAACATCATTAATCATTAGAGAAATGCAAATCAAAACTACAATGAGATATCATCTCACACCAGTCAGAATGGCCATCATCAAAAAATCTAGAAACAATTAATGCTGCATAGGGTGTGGAGAAAAGGGAACACTCTTGCACTGCTGGTGGGAATGTGAATTGATTGGTACAGCCACTATGGAGAACAGTATGGAGGTTCCTTAATGAACTACAAATAGAACTACCATATGACCCAGCTACTGGGCATATACCCTGAGAAAACCATAATTCAAAGAAAGTCATGTACCAAAATGTTCATTGCAGCTCTATTTACAATAGCCCAGAGATGGAAACAACCTAAGTTTCCATCATCGGATAAATGGATAAAGAAGATGTGGCACATATATACAATGGAATATTACTCAGCCATAAAAAGAAACGAAATTGAGCTATTTGTAATGAGGTGGATAGACCTAGAGTCTGTCATACAGAGTGAAGTAAGTTAGAAAGAGAAAAACAAATACCGTATGCTAACACATATATATGGAATTTAAGGGAAAAAAATGTCATGAAGAACCTAGGGGTAAGACAGGAATAAAGACACAGACCTACTAGAGAACGGACTTGAGGATATGGGGAGGGGGAAGGGTGAGCTGTGACAAAGCGAGAGAGAGGCATGGACATATATACACTATCAAACGTAAGGTAGATAGCTAGTGGGAAGCAGCCGTATAGCACAGGGAGATCAGCTCGGTGCTTTGTGACCACCTAGAGGGGTGGGATAGGGAGGGTGGGAGGGAGGGAGATGCAAAAGGGAAGAGATATGGTAACATATGTATATGTATAACTGATTCACTTTGTTATAAAGCAGAAACTAACACACCATTGTAAAGCAATTATACCCCAATAAAGATGTTAAAAAAAAGAAAATAGAAGATAAGAAAATAATAATAATAATGGGGAGATTGCAGGACACGAATAAAGATGCAGAGAATGGACTTGGGACACGGGGAGGGGGAAGGGTAAGCTGGGACGAAGTGAGAGAGTGGCAGGGACATATATACACTACCAAATGTAAAATAGATAGCTAGTGGGAAGCAGCTGCATAGCACAGGGAGATCAGCTCAGTGCTTTGTGACCACCTAGAGGGGCGGGATAGGGAGGGTGTGAGGGAGATGCAAGAGGGAGGGGATATGGGGATATATGTATATGTGTAGGTGATTCACTTTGTTATAAAGCAGAAACTAACACACCATTGTAAAGCAATTATACTCCAATAAAGGTGTTAAAAAAAATAATGGGGAGAATATCCACCCTTCGCTGGGGTCTTGTGAGGATTAAGTGAAATGAGATTACTTTTATTAAAATCAGTTGACATGAAAGACGAAAACTCATCAAGGTAAACCCATTCTGCACCTAAGACAGGAATCTGTCTCAGTAACAGATGCCATGGTTTTAAAAGATGGATCACAATGCCTTTCTGGATGTATTCACACTGCAAAAATTATTAGCACTGTGGATCCATTAGAAGCCAAATTAAGCTGCTTTCCCATGCCATGCCACTGTCACGCAGGATGCACGCCCTGGGCAGATTTCACGCATTTTTGTCATTGGGTTGGCAGAGCTGTCAAATGCCAGTTTTGAAAGATGAGGCTATCTACAGATGCTTGCATAACACAGTTAAGCAGAGAGAAACAAAAATGAAAATATCCCTTGGCCATTCATTGTGTGCTGGATAACTTCTGTTTGTGCTTTCAAATGCACTCTCTACCCAGCTCCTGGGCCTGGAGAAATTGCTCTGCACATCTCCTTCAGGGCTTCCTCGCCCTCTGGTTTCTGGTTGAGCTCAGTTAATGGGGGCCATTAGCAGAGACTGGGAGATGACAGTGCCTGAACTAGGGACAATCTTTTTTCTAAGTCATGCAAACATAGAACATGATAAAATTTATATGAATAACTAGAGTAAATGCATAGCTACTTGCAGCTGAAGTGACTGGCCCAAGACCAGCTCGGCACCAGAATGCTGAGGGATTAATACCTATGCACACCTGTAACCCATTAGTGACACACTGGGGCCACTGCAAAGCACTGCTTTAGTACACCTAGTATATGTGCTCAGTGAACTTCCCATAGATGTTAATAAATTATTGATTAGTCATGAAAATTCATTATTTACAGTATGATTCTTATTGGGCTATAACTTTATTATTCCCAGCCCTTTACTATAGCATATAACCATTACTTCCAATAATTACACAGAAATGATGTGCCTTGTTAAATGCAAAACTCAACTGTAAAATATTATTATATATATAAGCAGCTGCTTAAGTAAGACAATGACACCATGTTCACTATTTATACTTATTATATCCTTGAAAATAGAATTAAAAACAAATCATGTAGTGCTTACCGGATCCCTTTTCACGAGCTCTCCGTTGGGCACAACTTCAACCAGGTGGATGATGATAATGATAGAATTCAGAACGTAAGTCAGAAACATGTTCTTGTGCAGAGTCACCCTTTGGCACTTAAGGCTCCTGGAAGGAAAAAGTAACAGAAAGCATTAACCAGTGCCAAAATGTTGACGTACCTGGAAAAAAAACCCACTTTGTAAATATTTTTAATATTTTCTTTAGCAACAGAGGAAAGAACATATAGAAATAAGTGAAGCTGTTTTCATCTTTAAGACTCATTACTACCTTTCTGCCTGATTTTTACAGTTTTCTGGTAGCTCATAGTTTTCAGTCCTCAGGGTGACTTCCTACAATAACTAAAAGAGTGAGTGATAAAAATCACTTTCAATGATAACAAATGTCATAAAATTAATTAAGAGAAGGACTTTTACAAGAGAAACTATTAGGGTTTGGAATTGTGCTTCAGATGAAATGTCGACTCTCCATTGATGTAACCTGGCAGAAATTGAGTGGCAAATGGGATAACAGAGCCTGAAGTCAGAAACAAGGCTGCCTGACAGCCTGACTGAATCCACGTCCTTGGCCCATCACATACACAGATTTTATTAAGTATCCTGTCATCCTTTTCTTTCACCATTTCTTTTAATACCTTCTTATTTCTTGTATTCCAACTGGAAATCAACCCTATGGCTCCTTCTTTCCATGTCCTCCTGATGGTGGAGCTCAGACACAGGCAGAGAATTCTAACTAGTCTCAAATCTGATCTCGTGCTGAGGCACCCTGTGGTTTGGACCTGGGACCTATCCAAATGCACTGCTTGTTGGAACAGCCATGTCCCACCTCTGGCGTACTAAACGGTTTGCTGCATTTTTCATTCCTTTCTCCTCCACTTCATAAATTTGTACTTGTGTGAATGTTCATCTAAATAAACATTAGTTTGAATATCCTATTTCAATTTTTTTTTTTTTTTTTTTTTTTTTTTGTTCGCGGGCCTCTCTCTTTTTTGGCCTCTCCCGTCGCGGAGCACAGGCTCCGGACGCGCAGGCTCAGCGGCCATGGCTCACGGGCCCAGCCGCTCCGCGGCATGTGGGATCTTCCCGGACCGGGGCACGAACCCGTGTCCCCTGCATCGGCAGGCGGACTCTTAACCACTGCGCCACCAGGGAAGCCCCTTTTATTTCACTTTTTGATGCAAATGTAGACAGCCTGCAGGACGGCTATAACAAAATTGGAGTGATTATCTTAGATGAATTAAAATCTCGTGTTTACCATATTTGATCCAGTCAAAAAATATTTAGCATAATGTGAGAAATTTAACGTTAACATTCACTTAATGATGCCAACGAGTGATCATAGTAACTACTCCTAAAAAATCTTCATGGAATAAAGCTAGAATCCCAGGCATTTTGACAAGAAAATTCTGGGGAAAAATGGGTCATGAAAATGCTTTCCTATATTTTCAAATCAAAGGAAAAATGAGTTGTCAATTATCTGTAGTAAAAAGTAACTTTAAGCAATAAGGGCAACTGTTAGAGCATATTTTGATTATTGTAGCTACCTTTTTCAACTCTTCAGGAAGCACAAGTATTAGTAAATAGTTAATACAGAATATTTTAAAATCCTCAACTTGTTGAGCAGGAGTAGAATGCAGGAGGCAGCCAATGGTAAAGATGGGGTTTAGAGGAGAACTTTCTCTCCCTCTCTCTCTTTTTCTCACACACACTACCATGTGCTACTTTATGTAGCAGCAGAAAATTTTGTTAAATAAACTGAACCTAGTTGGTTTTTTAACAGTACTATAGAAAGTAGGATGCAGGGGGCTTCCCTGGTGGCGCAGTGGTTGAGAGTCCGCCTGCCGATGCAGGGGACACGGGTTCGTGCCCCAGTCCGGGAGGATCCCACATGCCGTGGAGCGGCTGGGCCCGTGCGCCATGGCTGTTGAGCCTGCGCGTCCGGAGCCTGTGCTCCGCAATGGAAGAGGCTACAATAGTGAGAGGCTTGCATACCAGGAAAAAAAAAGAAAAATAGGATGCAAATTTAAGGCTTTAAAAAGAAAAAAATATTTATGTAAAACATCATGCCCATTTATACTGCATAAACTCTTCCCATAAAGTAACTGTTAAACATCTGACCTGCCATTTATTCATACAGTCGTAATAGCATTTTATAATTCTTCTCACTGGGAGGCAAATATCTGTGTTCTCATTATTGGATTCAGCCTGGCTTAAACCAACGACAGTTGACATTATGCATAACTAAGGAGTATGGATGAATGCATCATTCAGCATTGCTATTCTCATGCCTGATTTTCTTTGGATTGGGTAGGGTTCAATAATCTGTCAATGGATATTAGCTTACAGAACTGGTTAATGTTCAGTCTCCTGTGTAAACCAGAACTGCCCTAAATAAAATATACTTCCTCCACCTCCAGCTTACTCTTGGGTCCTTGTATCCCTGTTTTTTTTTTTCTTCTTAACACTTACTGCTTCCTGACATATCGTATATTTGTTTACTGCCTGTTATTTTCTCTTACTAGAATGGAAATGCCAAAGGAATTTGTTTTGTGTACCTAGCACAGCTTCTGACACACAGTAGGCCTTAATACTCTTTTTTGCATTAAAAATCTTTATATAATAGCAGTTTTCTTTGAGCCGTGACCACTAAACAGTTTTTCCAGTACAGAGAATTACATTAAATGCTAGATGATCTCCTATTTCATACTTTGTATCATACTGAACATTTGCCAGATTCTTAACTAATATTGGACATTATCCTGTTGTTCAACATTACGTAAAACCTATATACAGTACTGTGTTATGTACACAATGAGAAAGTGATGGTTTAAAGCTGGATAAACTGTCAGGTTCCAAAGGAAGAATATGACTAATATATGAGTCTCTGTTTCTTGAAGATTTCAATATAATTTCTCCTTATTGAGTTTTAAAATTTTTACTACACTTGATGACATTTACACTCAGCTTTTTGAAGCGAGTTAAATGTACTTTAAATTTATTAAAATTCTTTCAATAATCCAACACATATTACTGTGTATCCAACTCTGATTCAAACCCTCTTGTAGATGCTAGGGATATATGGGTAAACAAAACAGACAGCTTCTGCTTTCAGGGACCTTATACATTACATAATTATTTACTATTATAATAAATGTTCTGAAAGAGGTATAGGATGCTGACGAGGATTAACTGAACTTAAGAAATTATGTGTTTAATTGTTCTCAATACAAATATCCTGTTGCCTGAATGAACATGAGAGAAGCGGGCATTTTCCTGTCAGACCTGAAATGTCTTTAGTAGAAATGGCATGAACCAGATGTTAGCTCTACTTTATTTCTCTTGATAAAAACAAAAACCAAAAAAAACACAGGTATTTAGATGGACAGGATCTTGCTTACTCTGAGTGACAGGGAACTATAAGTACTATAGATTCTCCAAGAGTGGGAGGATAAGACAATATAATCTACTCCTGTCTTGGCCCAATCAAGGTGTCATTCACATGTGAGGATGAGGTAACGATTTACTTTCATATGAATCACAAGATGTCACACTTTAAAGTTAAAGCTAAATGTCATATTTATGATTTTAATTTACCTGGTGTAAATCTTTCACATTGAAAACTTTGTTTCAAGTTATTGGTATCCTATGCGTGTATATGTGTGCTTGCAGGATCTTGAAGTTGTATGAGAAGGTGCTTAATATTTGCCTTGAGTCTTGCAGATTGTATAGATCAGTTTGATATCACAGGACAAGGCACAACTTTAAGTTTTCCTTTACTTAGGTATCATACCTTGTTCATGATGGACAAGAGGAGTGAGGGAAGGAGGGAATGTGAAATGGATTGCATTAAAACTCCTAGAAAAATTCAGAACAGTATGTTATACATCTTTCCTATCTGACAAGGACTTTATATCTTTGGATTTAGCACAAAATCTTTATCCTTAAGGAACTCCCTTTCAATCATAACTCTCGCTTCTTTTCCTATTACTACTGTTCTATGAGTGAACATGTGCCAAGCGATGACCAACAGTTACCTTTGGTGTCCTGCCATGTCAAGGGTGGGTTGGGAGAAAGGAGGCTGTTTTTGCTGCCATTGATTTAATGGTTTCTCTGGAGGAACAGGAAGGCAGCCAGAGATGTATAATAGGATACTATATAAGATAGTTATCTATCCATCCTCTATAAAGATGTGAAATAGAATAATAGGGAGTACTGAGTAATAGAGGAATCAATATTCCTTTTAGAGGTCCCAGTGGAAAACTTTTTTTTTTTTTTGGCCAACGTGGTCAGTGTAATGTAATGTAGAAAATGTAATGCAATGAACACACTTCTCTTTCAGCATATATCTCTGTTAACTTTCAGGCAAGAGTAATTGATATTCACAATATTTAATCAGCAAGTAGTACTTTGGTACCAAGTAGTCAAAATGGATGTTAATGAATGTTCTATTATTGGACCTTCCTTAAGAAAAAACAGTGAGATATTTTAGTATTTAGAATTATTATGCAGAAATGTAAATTGATAAATTGTACATGGAACTGATAAGTGAACTTATTGCAAACTCGCTTAAAATGGCAGGAAACAAACACAAATGTCCACTTACGTGACTTTCTCAAGCCAGTATTCTGTAAAGGTATTTTTATTTTAACCCTCTTATTGACATTTAACACTTGGCATCTAGTCGTGAGGAGTCTTAAGTAATGTGATGGTTCTATTTAATTCCTCTCCATGTTACTACTCCTAACTATTTTTCCCAGTATAGGTCCTAAACCAAATATCCTAAAAAGGCTGTTTTCAACCTTTAATTGGTGGATCAGAAGTAACCTGTATATCATCCTGAATATTATTTTAACTCTGCCACTTTGTACAGTTAAGATCTTCAGTATTGCCTTTTCTATGATTTAAATCACTGAAAAAATTTTCCTTTATCTTGAAGAGGGCCTAGAAGTTCAATTTTATTCTTTTAAAATAACGAAGACTTTATATATATTTCTACAATCATTTTCCAATAGCACAGGGAGTGTGATTCTTATTTGTTTCAGGTTACACAGTCCTGCGTTTTATCTTCTCCTGAATGCTCACAGTAAAATCACATTAAGATTAGCGGCACGCCGTAATGATCTCATTCTGAGTAATACCCCAGGATTTTTAGCAAAGTATTGGCAGTTCTACAGCCTCCCATATATTCAGTAACTCCTCTGCAGGCCTTCCTGGCCTGCTGGTTTGAGAAGGACACCTGCAGGGTTATTCCTTTTCATAGACCCTAGAAGGCACATGTTAGGATTTTAGAGTGAGATTTCAATGGGATGATTATGAATGAGGCATTAGGTCTCAGAAGCAGAGCTGAGTGTAACTTCTCATTTTGGTTTCATGAACGTTTTATGAAATTGATTATTTGGATTTTGCAAAATAACTTAACCCTGGGCGTGCAGAATTAAGCAAGGGAGTGATGATTATTGCTTGCTCAGGTTTCACACCGATGATGCCATTTAAGTACATAAATTGTAAAACCTCCCCTTGTAATGTGCAGTAAATATCACAAGGGTGATGTTGAGTGTTTGAAAAGGACCTGGGAAAATATTTCTAATTAAAAGATAAAATGCAGTCATAAATCAGTTATTTTATTTTTATTTTCACAGTCACTTTGAATATTTCTGAAATCCAAATGTAAGAAAAAATGTGACGAATTAGAAACATACTTTAAGGGAAACAGATGGCATTGATAGTTTTAGTTTGGGCAGATCTTTAAGGTAAGATTAAGAACAGGTATAAAAATCAGACATGACTGCTTCTGGATTTGAATATTTAGCATCTCAGCATGTGTGTTTTTTGTATCCTAGTCACCTTTTACTGTGTGTACCCTAGAGAACCAACCGTTTCACTTTGTGTCCTCCCATTGTTATATTCAGATTCTACCTCAATAAGACATGTTTTTCCTCCCAAGACTTAAGTTACTGTTTGGAAGGTTCTTGAAACAGAGAGACAGTAAGGGCAAAATCTGTGCTTCCTAGATAGTATGCCCCCACTCCCAAGGATTTTACCAGATTAATTTTATTTTGGGACTAACTGGAATTGAGAAATATTTCACTTTGCCTATGTGCTACACTTTTTAAACACCCATCTTTAGTGGCTTAATAGAGAAATTATTTAAAGAACATTCTTACTTTCTTTGCTGATTTGGCTCTCAGACCTCATCACTTATTTAAGTGACTGGAGAAGAACTAAGAAATCTCCCTCGACATTTTTTTATCTTTAAAGTCCTGTGTACATTTATTAATTGCAGAGTTACAAATTTAAAGAATAGACTTTTAGTGACAGACTTTTTAATCAAAGTTATATGAGAGCCATGATGATGTACTTTTGCTCTGTGGTCAAGTGTAGTTGAAAAATGAATAGACATTCAAAGATTAATCATGCTATGTGTTTACTCTGCTGTATTCTGATTATAATTGAAAAAATTATTCTAATAATTAATCCTTCATGTCTTGTTGCTTTATCAGTCTTTCTCCTATTAAACCAAATATGGAAGAAGCTCACTCTCTGCTTATTTGTTATTATTTGCTATTCAGTTAAAAACTTGCTATTCAGTTATATTGTTTAATCAACATAAATTGATGATGTTGACATAATACAATATGTAATTATGATGTAAGTTATAGGCAAAGATTAAAAATAGGGTCAAGGAGGGCTTCCCTGGTGGCACAGTGGTTGAGAGTCCGCCTGCCGATGTAGGGGACACGGGTTTGTGCCCCAGCCCGGGAAGATCCCACATGCCGCGGAGCGGCTGGGCCCGTGAGCCATGGCTGCTGAGCCTGCGCGTCCGGAGCCTGTGCTCCGCAACGGGAGAGGCCACAACAGTGAGAGGCCTGCGTACCGCCAAAAAAAAAAAAAAATAGGGTCAAGGGAAAGAATAATTGTAGTTGTATTAAGGGTGTGGTAAGTGTGATTCTCCCCTTGGTTTAATTTTTTCTAGTATTATCATGGCAATATTTTAACAAAAGTCAAATTAAGATTGTTATTTTATATAAATCACTATACATTTAATTACATATCACATCTTTTAAGTGTGGAGAATTATTTGTAGTCTGTGCCTATGAACTTTTCTTAATCATTTGTATAATATCACTAAAAAAAGTATCAGTGGAAGGAAATAGCACTGTAGCATGCCTCCTGCCTTTGATTTAAAAAAATGCCACGAAATTTAGGACATGTTTTTAGGATCAAATTTAACATGTTACTATCTCACATACATTGTGGTCATTCCTAAAACTATAGAATATTTTAAATTCTCCATTATTGTAAAATCAGTATCTATATCAACTTAATCATTTTGCAATAGGTAATGCAATCATTAGTATGGACACAGCCTCAGAATAGAAACCCTCATTGGAATTTTGTTTCTTATAGTTCTTAGAAGACACTTTCAGTTAACAATGGTAGGTGTGCAAGGGCAAAAAACTGACACTTGACAACAGGCCATCTTCTTCTAGAGGTTCTCCTTGACTCTGGCTGAGTTAGTTAAGGCCAAAAGAAACTTCCTTTTCTGGCTGAATATGATCATGGCCTTACCAGCCCCACTTCTCTTCTGGCCCAATCCACTTACAGTACAGCTCATAATTAAGCAGGGTGTGTTTGAACCTGTGGCCACCTCCATATTTTAGAGTGAGGGTAAAAGAAGGAGGAGGATTATTTCCTCAATACTTCATGGAAGCTTAGCCATGGTAAGTGGAACTTTACCATGTTAATGCAGTGTATTTACGGGCTCACAGGATTATTTCATTTTGGGAAGGAGGCATATCGCCTTTGAAAATTATATGTATCCATCCTATTTTCCTCAAAGATAGGGTTAAAAAACATATTTTAATTAATTTCATTTTTCTTGCTACTTCATGACTCCCAGTGTTACATGTCTTGTAATCAGCAGACTTCTCCTTGCCCAACACTCTTGCAGAGTATACCATTTATTTTAGTGCCTAAGAGAAGAAAATAAAAGGCAGATGCTATAGGTGTACTTACCTAACAAGCATGAAAATCGCCAGAGAAATCACCAGTGTGAACATCGACATAGAATGACCCACAATAGCCAAGTAGTACAGAATGTATGCATTCTGCAACAACAACAACAAAACCAGTTACTAAAGCAGATAGGTGAATAAATTATTATAGAAGAGGGAAAACAGTTTATTTTTATTATTATTTTTTTCATCAGTGTATACATGTCAATCCCAATCGCCCAATTCATCACACCACCACCCCCAACGCTTTCCCCCCTTGGTGTCCATACGTTTGTTCTCTACATCTGTGTCTCAATTTCTGCCCGAAAACGTTTATTTTTAAATAGTGTAAATCAACAAATGTTTTTCTCCTTTAAAAAAATGACTAAAATGATAACAAATATTTCAGAGAATTAAATTATATGGAATTATAAATTGGATTAATAGATTAACTTTCCTAAGAATATCAGTTTTACTGGAATATGCATGACATGGTGGGAAGAATAGAAGATGGGATTCAATAGAGCGTTCTTTACTCAGAGTATTATCGTTAAGTGTTTGTGTGACACTCATAGGTCCAGTCACTTCAATTTTCCAGACTGCAGTAGTCCTCATGTGTAAAATCATGAGGTTGGAATAGATGATTTTTAAAGCAATTATATGTTGTAAGGAACATTATTTAATACAGGGATACAGAAATATTGGATGTGAAAGGATGAGAAAAGATGGCCCAGGTAAACACTAACCATAAGAAAACTGGTGTGATATCATACGAGTCCAGATGTTAAGTCAGGATGATACAGCAATGCTAAATGTCTATGCACCTAATAATATAAACTCAAACCACACAGAGCATAAAGCAAAAACTGACAGCTCCTAGTAATCAATAGAATGAACACAGGGAGGAAAAATCTAGCTATAGAAGATTTGAACAACATGCTCAACAAACTTCACTAATTCACATATAATAAGCATCGCACACAACATCTGCAGAATACCCATTCTTTTCAAATGCACAAAGAATATCCAAATTGACATACACTAGTCAGTAAAGCAAATGAATATATTTCAAGTAATTAAAATCTTAAATAGCATCTTCACTGACCATAATACTCTAGAAATCATTAATAAAAAGATAACTTAAAAAACACCTTCATATTGTTGAAAAGCAAACAATATATTTCTAAATAAACACTGGATCAAAGAAGAACTCACAACGACACACCAAAACTTTTTGGATGTAGATGAAGCTGTGCATAGAGGGAAGTTTAAAGACTAAAATGCATATGTGAGAAAAGAAGATTGAAAATCAATGACCTAAATTTCCATCTAAAGAAAATTAAACTTTAAGAATGTAAAAGAAAGGAAATAGAAATGATAAAGAGAACTTGAATATATATTGAGTGGATCAAAGACAAAACCTAGTTCTTACAAAAAAAATAATTTCAATACCCCTTAACAAGACTGATCAAGAAAAAGACGACCCAAGATAAATGAAAACATATGTGCACACAAAAACTTGTACACAAAATGTTTAGGGGCTTCCCTGGTGGCGCAGTGGTTGAGAGTCTGCCTGCCAATGCAGGGGACATGGGTTCGTGCCCCGGTCCGGACAGATCCCACATGCCGCGGAGCGGCTGGGCCCGTGAGCCAGGGCCGCTGAGCCTGCGCGTCCAGAGCCTGTGCTCCGCAACGGGAGAGGCCACAACAGTGAGAGGCCCGCGTACCGCAAAAAAAAAAAAAAAAAAGTGGAAATAACATAAATGTCCATCAACTGGTATATGTGGTTTGTCCACAGAATGGAATACTATTCAGCCATAGAAAGGAATGAAGTACTTACACATGCTATAACATGGACGAACATCGAAAACATCAAGCTAAGTGAAAGAAGCCAGTCACAAAAACCCACATATTGTATAATCCTATTAATATGAAATGTCCAGAAAAGGCAAATCTCTTAGAGACAGAAAGTAGATTAATTTAATGGCTACCTAGAAATCCATCTGTTATTATTTGCAGCTGATATAATACTATACATATAAAATATAAAATTTATAAATTACTAAAATTAATAAGTGAGTTTTATAAAAATTGTTGGATAAAAAAATGAGAACAGTTTTAATACATAAACAACAAATAATAAAATTTCAAATGTGGCATTTACAATTGCATTAAAAAATCAAATGCTTGAGAATAAATCTGCAGAAGGGGGACTTCCCTGGTGGCGCAGTGGTTAAGAATCCGCCTGCCAATGCAGGGGACATGGGTTTGAGCCCTGGCCCGGGAAGATCCCACATGCTGTGGAGCAACTAAGCCCGTGCACCACAACTACTGAGCCTGCGCTCTAGAGCCCGCAAGCCACAACTACTGAAGCCCGCATGCCTAGAACCCATGCTCCACAACAAGAGAAGCCACCACCATGAGAAGCCTGCGCACCACAAGGAAGAGTAGCCCCCGCTCGCCGCAACTACAGAAAGCCCGCACGCACCAACGAAGACCCAACGCAGCCAAAAATAAATAAATAACTTAAAAAAAAAATCTACAGAAGGATGTGTGTGAGCTCTACACAGAAATCTATAAAACATTATTGAGCGATATTAAAGACAGAGATGAATAGAGGGATATATTCTATTCAATGGTTGGAAGATAAAGATCTCAAAATTTTCAAACTGATCACAAGGTTTCTTTGCATGTAAAATTTGACAGACTGCTTCTAAAATTTGCACTGAAAATACAAAGAAAAAATATAGCCAAGACAATCTTGAAGAACACAGTGGTAAGACCTACTCTATGGAGCATCATTTGTTATAAAGCCACTGGAATCCAGCAGTGTGATACTGGTGCAAGGAGAGACAAATAGACCTGTGCAACGCAGTCCAGAAGCATGTAGTGACATGTATGGTCACTTGATATATGATAATGGTGATGTTATAGGGCAGTAGGGAAAGGATGGTCTTTTCAATAAATGTTGCTGGGTCAGTTGAACAGTGATATGGAAAAAAAATACAATGAATCCCTAACTCTAATTTTCAACAAACTAAAATGTGTGTTCCAAATTGAAAAGAAATAGCACCTCTTAGGTATAATCTTTGACCAGCAGTAGACATAGCTCAGCATTTAAATCTAAGTTCTTTACTTATGTTATTCCACATTGTTATATTTTCCAACGTTGCCTTTTATGTTTATGATGCCAATGGGAGAGACATTTAGGGGCAGGTGGACCTATGACACTTCTCTGACAATAGTGGATCATTTCCTTCTTTATTTACTGATAGGTAGAACTCTCTAAGCTCCTAACATGTTTTCAGAGTTGGGCACCCTGTATTCTATTTTGTCTGGGAGAAAGAGAGACTGTAATATCCATTTTGCGGGTGAAAAAAACAGAGACTCAGAGAGGGCAATGGCTTGAAAGGAGGACAACATAATCTCTGGGCTTCTGGTGTTAAGTTCCCTCCCACAACAGGTTATTGGGTTGTGGGAGGAACTTAAGGTATTTTCAGTAACTTATTGGGTCCTGGTATGAATGTGAATGCAGTGTAGATAAGCTGGAAAATTTCTATGGAGTTCTTTGAATTCCTGGGAGAAACGCACCATTTATGTACAAATCATTACCCTTGAACATTTTGATTCTTATCAATTTCTTTGTGAAGGGTCTGAGATTGAAACACTAATTCTGCTTAAAAGGCTCACAAAACAGAGCCCTTTGTTTGGTTATGTGCATTATTGCTAGACAGAAACAGGTATTGCCTTGTAGGCCTTAGAGTTTCAAAATGAATGTGTCAACTTATCCTGAATTGCGGTTGCATCATTTCACTAGGCATTTACATATTGTTCGTCAGTTTCATTGTTGATACTGCTCTGCTAACAGTGCTTTTTATCCTTGCAGGTAATGATAGTAAATCTGGAATAGTTGGTTTATACCTAGAATTGATAAAAACTTCAGTATAGCTTGTAGGTCCCTTCTTAGGAGGTATTTAGGAATCTTTGCAAGAAAACACTCAGCTCCTGTCTTTTTTCCCCAGGAATTCATTTTCTGGCTCTTTTTCTAACTTTACCACTAGACAAAAACAGGTGTAGCATTTTCTAACAGTTTTCCCTTTTAAATAGTTTACCATATTGAGTCCCCTTGCCATTTAAAGTACTGTTTTTAATTTGGATATATAGGAATGCCAGTATTTTATTTTTATCTCTGCATATTTTATTTGTAAGGAAATTTTATATAATTTAATACATTTTCTTTCAGTTGCCTCTAGAATACTTTAAAAAATATTTATGCTTCTGAAATAGAATTGTCTAACTGTGTAAGGTTAAATCAACAGCTCATAATTTATTTGCCATTTTTGTATCATTCTTAAGACTGATAAGTGTTTGTTTTTTTATTTAAATAAATTCTAGGTTGATTTCTTTTTTTTTTTTTTTTTGCCTGTATATAGACGGAAGATTTGTGCATAGAATTTCAATCATTATGTTAGGTGCCTAGAGGGGAGTATTTATTCTTAAAATACTTTATTTCCTTCTCAGATGTGGCCAGAGTGTGTGAAGAGGTCAAATGTGGCAGCACTGAGAATTGTTTATTTTGATGTGCACTCTTTCTAACAATTCAGTTAAAAGAGTTAAATTTTTTTGCTGTAAAGTAATCAGCATTCATTCAGGAAATTCCTTACTCATTGACATGTCATTTCAATCAGACCTTATTAAATAAATAGCTCTAGGATGTAGGCATGTGTCTTGACTCTCAGGGGTGACTTAGCAATTTGTGGAAGCGGTAACTGGCTTTGGTGCCCTCAGCCTGTGCCTGTGACAAGATGTCCCTCTAGTCAACTGGTCTCTAAGCTATCTCTTCATCTTCTTTGTTTTTAATTGTTGTTTATTTTGTTTTTAATGGAAGGAAAAATTTCTATACTCATAAAGCTTCTTTATAGGAAACAAAAGCACTGATGTGCGTATAGCTTCCAACTTCGCAATAACTGAGCATACAGGCCTATCTTTGAAGGAAACAATAGGTTTCTCTTGCAGCCACCAGGGCTGTGCAGAGATGCCCTGTGTGCTAAACGCTGACCAACGGTTTCTCCCAGCTCTGTAGGGAGAGGAGGCTGGTGGTAGACTTAATGATCTTTTCAGATTTCTGAAGCATCTGAAGAAGGCAGTAGCTATCTGCCCCCCACTCCCCCGCCCCGCCCCACTGGCTTAAATGTTTCTAAGCTAAGATAGTAAAAATATTTAACAGCCAGTAAGACACAAGAAGTAGCAAGTTAGAATGGACTTCCACTGAAAATAATCTAAACAGCCACACGCTTATCAGTGGGCTGATGAGAAGCCCCATTCTTAGAGTTCCTTCAAGGCTTGATAGTAAAACTGTCATAGACATCTCAGGACAGGGATGCGGACAACCGTTAGCTGGTGACTTGTGGAGAAATCTGTAGTTTTGGAACTCTTCCAGGAGAAGAGATGTTAAGGCAGTTCCTGGAAATGCTGCCTAATGTCTGGCACTGCAGGGAATCCCATCATTTGCTCCATGGACATGTTCCCCTTGCCACAAATGGCCTGATTCCACATGCTCACAGAACTCTCACTGACTGAATGCCAACCAAGAAGTAAAACATCATTTTCTCTAGTGCCACTTCACAGAGTCCCTAGAATTGACAGGTCATTATCTGATTTCCTTCTACAAAATAGTTGGCGTCTTGGTAGCAGGTGTTTTACAATTAGGCATAAATTTCCATGCACAGATGATGGCATTCTCACCCAATACTGAAATTTGAAATAGAACCTACCTGCATCTTCTCAGGAGTGAAAGCGTTACACATAGTATAGTTGGACCAGGATATGTTGCTGTCAGGGTGCGTGTACCAAAGCCCGTCTTCCTCACAGTACTTTGTAACTTTTTCTGTTAATGAAACAAAACTTACTATCTCAAAATAACAAGAAGGAAAAACAATAAGTTAAAGCTTAAAAGCCATTCCAAAGTGTTAATCACTTTATAGAACTTGAACGTCAATAGAGACTACCTCGAATCCTGCATTATACAGGATGCTTTAATATGCATTGCTTCAATTTAGCTTCAGCAAAGTCATGTGAAGCATTGTTATCTCCATTTTGCTTTGCCAAACTTATTCTGAGTTATTCAGACTTTTTCTAGTTCTCCAAAGTACCTCTCCAATGCGTTTATTGTTTAGAGATCATATAACAATCCTGAACTGGTAAAATATGAAAAGAGATTTTACCAGTGTGTTTGCAATCCTCACATAGTTTTTATTTTTGATAGTTTCATAGGGATAATGTTTTTGAAGCATTGTTCTTCATTGGCAAAGGCAAAGAGCTATCACACCTATGGAAAACCCTTTTATATATGGTTTCTGGTGTTTTTCTTTTAGCACGAGGATATGGAAATCAGAATCATATACTAATATTTGTCATTGTTTTAAAGGCTAAGAAACAATTAATGTTAAAAAATTTATTTTGCTGAAATATTACTTAGATCTGATAACATTTAAAATAATTTTCTATCAGAAGTTGCTGTTAGTCAAATCAACATGCTAAGAGCTAGTATGAAAATTATTTTAACTTTGGCAGTTTTTAGGGTGAAATTCATAATTTTTCATCATATGAATGAAACAGATACTACCAAACTCAGCACAAGATTTAAACTGAAAACTGTAGACTTGTTTGTAATATATCTACTCCAACAATGATTTAAAATGGATGAAAAAACACATTTTTCAAACAAAAGGTGTTTCAAAGCGCCTGTTAGAATCATCATTGCTTAATGTAAATCTGTTTCAATGTTAAGTAGAAAACTTTTAAATTGCGAATTTACTGTGACTGCCATTGGACAAAAACTATTTAAAGGATCACCACTGGACACCAACAATGTTTCCAAAAGGGTTAGCACTAACCAGCAGGGAAAAATTCATGTTGAAAACTGGTCAATGATTTAGTTAATGCTTTGTCAACGACCATTCTAAGCTTACTTGCAATTAAAAAAAAGTGGTTTGTAATGCAGCATTTTATCTTTAACGTATTGTTAGAAAGTAGTTTTGTTTTATTGAAATGAATATAATTTGGTTTTTACAAAGTTATGCAGCTATATAGGGTAATGTGTTCTACGGAAGAGGGTGTTCCTCCTGAGGAAGTCCTTTCCAATCACGGACGGCACTGTAGGAAATATTGTTTTGTTTGGATTTAACTCAGGTCTGGATCTAGGCATTTCCTGGCTCTAACTGTTGCAGCTATCAAGAAACTGTCATCCTCCACCTGGCAAATCTTTCAATATTTGACGGAAGGCTACATCTACTCTAACCTCCCTCTCTAAACCAAACACCCCTATTCACTCTCACCACACATGCTGTCCCCTCACAGCCTGAAGCCTCTCTGCACGTGCTCTGAGATTGGCACTTCCCTCTAAAATAGTCTAAGTTTGAACTGCCCGGTGAAGAGGCAGCATGCTTCCTTCAGTCTAGATTCACATGGAGGAGCTTTTTCCAGATGCTCAAAACCCAGTCCCCAGAGATTTGTGTTCCATTAATCTGAAGAGGTGCCAGACACCGGCATCTTTAAGAAGCTCATTGATTCCAAAGGGTATCAGGGTTGAGAATCACTGTCCTCAACCATATGTTGGCCACCTTGGCTCTGTCCCATTACTGCTGATTGAGTGTTTGAGTCCTGCCCTTAAGTCCCTCCTAATAAGGATTTGCTTTTTATACTCTAGCATATTCCTTCAGACTCAGCCTCTTTGGAATTTCAATACTGTTATACACTCTTTCATTACCTACCTGTCTTTTACCAAGCACTTTGTTTAAAATGAAATCTGTCATTTCATTAAACTGTTGTATGTATCATCAAGGTACAGCTTGGGTCAATGGTAAAATACTAAAGAATTTAAATTTGTTGAATATAGGTATTTTTAAGGTTTGCCTTTCTTTTAAAGTGGATTTGTCCCCCAGCTGAGAGGAATCTAAAAATCAGGCTGAAAAAATGGATCTATGCCTGGAAATCCCTGTTTTGTGACCCCAAACTTGCCTTTTAGTTAATAATTACAGCCACTTTGGCAAGGGCCCATTGCTGCTTTGGAACTGGCCTTGCAGCCTTGATTGCAAGACAGCTCTTTGTGCCACTCATGTTACCTCTAATGTGGCTGTCAGATCAAGATTAATGAAGCATCATTTATTGGGAACAGTCGATAAAGACCTGGGGGACTACTATCAAATAGCATTTAGTTAGAGTTTACAGGAAGGTAGTGCTGAGCAGGGCATAGCACTAAGTCCTTTCTCTCTTCACATCCCAACTCTTCCAACAAAATGAGAATTCCTAGAAGTGGCTGGCCTGAGCTGGTTTTAAAAGTGCCCCACTGCAATCCCATTTCCATTATCTCTTCTCACTGGGGTTGCACTTTGTATCTCATTCTTGAAGGAAGCACAAAAAGCATCTCCCAAACATTGTCTCAGGGATAGACTAATTGCTCTAATCTGGATTCCAGAAACTTTCTTGCATAAATTTTATTGTATGACTGCTGTTTTCCATCTTAACTCATGTCCTCACTTTCAGTCTGCGGGAAATAACCTCTCGTCATTCACAGACAATAAGTGTGGGTAACCAGATGGGTTGGTTAACCCTGAAATGTGGTAGAAAGTCTGACCCAACAAGTCTTGGAAAAATCTGAAAGAGAAGGTTGATTTTTCCATCTTAAGCAAAAAAAAAAAAAAAACAAAACACTGAGTCTTCTCTTCAAAATGCTACTTCTAGTCCAGACCAGATAATTCAAAGATGATCCTCTCTTGTCAGGACCCTGGCGTCCCCTTCCTCTAATTGGGTGTTCTAGCTCTCTCCCCGGCCCTATTCCCTAGAGGTCACTGAAGGAAGGAGGAAGAAGATGAGCACCGTGAGGGGCGGCGGGGTTACTGTGCTCTGTTATTCCACATCTTATTAGAAGAGATACGGAGCTTGAGGTGGAATGACCTGTGTTCTGGGAGCTCAGTCCCCACACCAGTCAACTAGTGGCTCTAGTTTCAACATCTAGAGCCACCTGGACGCTTCCTGCAGGCTCAGGCTTGCTGTACTCTCAGGAACAAATCTCACCCCTTAACAGGGACTTATGCAATGTGTCTGTATCTGGACCCACTTAGTTCCAGCATCAGGATCTCCTTTGTAATGAAGATTATATTCCTTTTTAAGTATCTTAATCCCAGGTTTATTTCAATGGGACAGATTTTCTATCCAGTCTCCTAGAACGGAACTTTTCTGGCCCTGATACCTACAGTTCCTGGAGCTGGGCAGCTACTACCTTTTATTCCTCGGGGACCCTCTTTCCACTATGGCTTGTATCAGTCTCATCGGATAATGTGCTCTGCCTCTTACTGGAAGAGCTACTAAGTGCACTTTGCTGGTACCAGCCACTTTCTTATCTGGACTTTATTGTTTAACACAGTTTCATCTTGGCTGCACAATTTAGTCACAAGAACATTTAAACATCTTGATGTCCAGGTTGCACTCCAAACTAACTAAATCAGAATATCTGGGATGGTACCAGGGATCAGGATTATTTTTTAAAGCTCCCCAGCTTCTCAGCCAAGTTGAGAATCACTTACTACTAGCAGCTATCCAATGCCATTTCCCAGCCCCAAGTGCCTAATCTCTGGATTGAGGCTGTTCAACAACCTCATACCTACTTTTCATACATCCCTTTGCCTTGGCTCCCGACCACTCACCACTGAGCATCTTGGATTCCAGACTTCCATTCTATTTGGATAGATGACAATACTAAGACGCATAACTTCGGCCCCTAGCTTCTCACTTCACTTGGCACCTGGTACTCCTGCCTAAGCATCGCCGCCCAACTTCTAACCATAACAGTGAGGCTAGACTGAGGCCTGAAGGAAAACGATGTTCCCCCTTGAAAGTTCTGAAAGTACTTCAACCTGCATAAGTTTGTATGGTGATTTAGAAATATTATTTCTCAAATGCTTTTCTAAGACTGTTGCCCTTACTTAGAAAGAAAGGGATAGGTAAGAGCTCAGGAGACTTGGGTTCACTTGTGGTTTTATGTCAAATATTATGTGAGTATAAAATGAGATACTATATATGAAAATGTTTTGGAAAGTTAAAAAATGATAGTCAATGAAAATATTCCCATGTTACTAATTAACTTTAGTTGTAAAAGTAACACCAAATTCACTTAACACACATCTGTTGGCTGTTCATGTTGGGCTGGGCACACAGCTGGGTTACTACAATCCATTTTAATTTAACTGGTCTTATTTACTGAGCATATTTTAATAATCTACTGTTGGAGCAGAAATCTGGTAAATGTCTGGAGTTACCACTTTCTAATTTATCTTCCCTACACATGACAGTTTTATACAATTTTCAAGGTTACATCAAATTTCCATTATGCTTGTTTTACCAGCCCAGTACGCACAAACTCTACATCAAGCATTTGCATAAGTCATCAAATGTGAGACAACTGAAAAATTTTAAAAACTACACATTTAAATAAAACTGTTCAGTTTTAGAAATATTACTTTTATTAAAATTTAATATTAAATATTTAAAATATATAAAATTTTCATTTTTATCTAACATTTAATATAATTTATGACTAAGGGGCATAACTGATCAGCAATGTGACTTAAAAAATAAGGGCAGCTTGCAATCTTAGACAACTGGGTAATATTTCATTTATGGAAATTCTTCAGAATGTGCTAAACTGCATAGAATATGACTTGGTAGTATATTTTGTATCTGATTTTCTTTTCAGAACTAGAAAAATGCTAAAAGATTCATAGCAAAATATACAATAAAAATAAATACTCTACCTGCTACATCAAAGTCCGGAAAATAATCTGGGCAGTGCTGTTGGGCGAGCACTCCAGCCGGTGTGTCATCCCAGCAGGACCATCCATCCCAGGTACGGTTGCAATACAGACCTGGCCATTTAGAAAGAAATTATATTACAGTTGTCAAAAACTGTAGAATCCTCAGCAGGATTTAACAGTGCATAGACAGTTATTCTGGGACTCTCCACTTGGACATGGAAATATTAAAACAACAGTAGCAGCAGCAGCAACAAAATAAAGGTATTAACTTTTCCAAGTACTAAGGAATTTCCTTTTTTTTCTTTTGTAGGACATTCTCCATTTGTTCCTCAAAAGGCATATTTGTCATCTGTATGGAATATTTCCTCCAAAATCTTTCCTTTAAAATATCTCCAGAAATGCTATGAAAAAAGTCTTGTGAAAGTATATGCAATATTACCCCTGGATAAAAGGCTTTGGAACATTTGTAGCCTACTAACCATTAACCTTCAAAGGGGTTGCCTTAGGTAGTTCTATTGTTAATCCAAGGGTGATGCACTTGTTTAGGAGATGCATTTGCAGCCAGTTAATGGGCTACATATAAAAACAGTCTTATTAGTTTAGAATCACACCATTACTGACTAAAATAATACTTAGTTTGATCACTTTATGTATTCTTCAACATTGGCTCCAAGTGGTTTCTCACTGCTTTCAAAAATTAAATCTACTCTTGAAGGGGGAAACTTTTAGTGCAATTGTAAAAGTATCTATTTTTTCATACACCTTCTTATTGATACTAGTGTGAGGCTGGGGTCAGATCATGAGGTGTCTTAAATGCCATCCTAAGGAGTCTGGGTTGTTTTTTTTTTTCCTGTAGGCAAGGTGGAACCATTGGGAATGACATGAACAAATCTAGATTTTAGTGAGAATAAGAAGGCTTTTAAGGATAAGATTAAAAAGAGAGACAAACTAGGTGACTATTGTAACAGTCCAGGTAAGAGATATTAAATGTCTAAAATAAGGCACTATTAGTGTATTTAGGAATATTAATGAAATGTAATTAACGGGGTGTGGATGTAAAGCAGGAAAATACAAGGATGACTCATAAATATTAATCCTGAGGGTGGGGATAATGGCCGACTCCAGGAGGGCTCAAGCCAAGGAGTACTTCCCAGAACTTCCACTGCCCCTGTCCCCGCGGTGAGCCACAGCCTCCCCCCAGCTCTGCAGGAGACCCTCCAACACTAGCAGATACACCAGAAATACATCTACACGTGGAACAACTCCTACAGAACACCTACTGAACACTGGCAGAAGACCTCACACCTCCCAAAAGGCAAGAAACCCCCCACGTACCTGGGTAGGGCAAAAGAAAAAAGATCCCACTACTGGGCATATACCCTGAGAAAACCATAATTCAAAAAGAGTCATGTACCAAAATGTTCATTGCAGCTCAATTTACAATAGCCCTGAGATGGAAACAACCTAAGTGCCCATCATCGGATGAATGGATAAAGAAGATGTGGCACATATATACAATGGAATATTACTCAGCCATAAAAAGAAATGAAATTGAGCTATTTGTAATGAGGTGGATAGACCTAGAGTCTGTCATACAGAGTGAAGTAAGTCAGAAAGAGAAAGATAAATACTGTATGCTAACACATATATATGGAATTTAAGAAAAAAAATATGTCATGAAGAACCTAGGGGTAAGACAGGAATAAAGACACAGACCTACTAGAGAATGGACTTGCGGATATGGGGAGGAGGAAGGGTAAGCTGTGACAAAGCGAGAGAGTGGCATGGACTTATATGTACTACCAAACGTAAAATAGATAGCTAGTGGGAAGCAGCTGCATAGCACAGGGAGATCAGCTCGGTGCTCTGTGACCACCTAGAGGGGTGGGATAGGGAGGGTGGGAGGGAGGGAGACGCAAGAGGGAAGAGATATGGGAACATATGTATATGTATAACTGATTCACTTTGTTATAAAGCAGAAACTAACACACCATTGTAAAGCAATTATACTCCAATAAAGATGTAAAAAAAATAAAATAAATAAATAAATATTAATCCTGAGTAAATGGCTCAGTGGCGGTGTCACATACCGAAGTGAGTATCCAGGAGGGATGAGTTTATGAGTAAGGTAATGGTGGGACTTGAAAATATTGTACTTGCGAAATGGCCAAGTGGAAATGTGTAGTAAATGTATGGGAGATGGACGGAGAGGATTAGGTGAAAGAATAACTGCATTTAAGGTGTTTCATTGCATAGAAGCCTGGTGTAAATTCTCAATTTCAAATAAAGGAATATTTTTTCTTTGAAAAAAATTAAATCTACCCTAAAACGTAAAGCTATTCAAAAGAACGAGCTTCAGGCTTTGAAGGCAGTTCTCAAAATAAAAAAAGTTTTAAATAATGATCGTAGCACAAAAGTTCATCCTCCCAAGATGACTAAGACCAAAGCAAAGGAGACTGCACTCACTCGGTTTCTAAAAGTATCAATTTTGTGTTTCTGTTGTTTCACTTAGCTTCAGAGAAAGGGTTTGTTTGGGCAGTTACACATAATGCCTTTTCAGGTTCTTAAACACTGAAACCGCTGCAGACAGAAGAATGACATGTGTCTTTCAATTGATTCACTTTTTTGTTTGAAGGAAAATGCTAAAAATAGGAACTACAAATTAAAACCTTAACTGTTTGATGGCAAACCATGTGTAGTAAATAGAGTATATTCAACTAATTTTCCCCCTAGGAAGCAGTGTGTTGTCTTAGAATACAGTGGGGTGTAAAAGATCTTGTTGGGTCTTTTCAAGTGCTTTAGGGGTCAGGGGAGAGAATTTAAATGAATGTAGCAATGCTTGGTCATCACATCCTCTCTTTTGTTTTCCCCTGGGCCCTCTGTAGCTAATAGAATATGCTTGGCGCTAAGAATAGTTGGGCAGTCACACAGAGCATTCTAGAGAAGGTGATAGATAAACAACGTCTGCCCAGGAGATATCTTTTTCTAATTCCTCTGGGAACTGGGGGTAGAAAAGGAGAAGGATTAGCATGAGTTGCCACCCAATTGACAGGTAAGGGAAGATACTACCTAATTAACCCAAGCAAGACAGAGTTTTGATAGGCTCTGCCTCAGGCTAATTCTCTGCCCAGTATTTTCCAACTCTCCTCCTGTTATTCTCTACTTCCTTCCCTCACATAGTCCTATATTGTTCCTGCTTGCCATGGGTGAATACTGGGCTATGTGTAGTAATTTTGTCGTAAATGCAGATATTCGCCAAAAAGCAGTCAGGTGAACTTGAGCAAAGAAACTAGGCATGTCTGCTGTATGAAATACTCAAACATACCACGGTATGAAAGCCACTGTTAAAACTATTGGCATATTAAATTAAAATTAGTCAACACATATTTACCCACAGAAGAAAATAAGCCTTTCCTGATGTTTGAAACACACATTCACATACGTCCTTTCTTTTACCTTCTCCTTGGTATGGGGGTAACTTTTGCATTCGGTCATAGCATCTGTGCTGTGCCTCCAACAGTCTCTGCTTTCCTAAAAGGTAGAGAAATGGCTCCGGCTCTATTGTTGGAGGGTGGGTGACCTCTGAAGTGGCAGGAAGAACCGGAATTGGGCGCTGTATTAGAAAGGAAACTGAGTTACTTATGGGGAGTAGAGATGGGTGAATACATAATGAAACAATCAAAAAATATGAAAACGTTTATTTTTCCTTCTGTAAGCAACAATTATGCATGGTCTCCATGTGGAATATTTTTGCTTTATAATTAAAAAGTGTACTTACATTTCATCTATAAATTCTACCTAAAATTTTCCTATTTGCCTTCATTCTGTTCACTCTTGAAAATATATAGCACCCACACAAACTCATGCACCTCTTTACAAGATTGTTTTAATTTTATCAGTGTAAAGTTTAGAAGTAAACAAAGCAAATAACCTGATTTCCAAAATATGAATATTAAATCAACTTTGTTTTGTTTGGAACTCCTAAGAATCATGAATCATGTTATTTAAAGTAGCTATATTAGTGCAATAAATACGTTTTAATTGGATTCTTTCAGCTGATTTGTTTGTACTTAGATTGCACACACTGCCAAAAATTTACCCCATTTATTCCATAGAATAAAATCTGTTCTTCTGAAATAGTCTGCTTTAGGTAATTGGCCTTAATCTCTTTAAATTGGTTTCATCAGTCGATGACCTGTACAAGGTATCATTTTCACTGCTGAAAATCAATGTAAATCTTAAATATTTCTCTTAGAGCTTTTGAATCTTCAGTACAGACTGACATTAGGTTTGTCAGTCTGTTAGTTTTCACTACCATCGTAGGTCCCATTAATCTAAGTTGTGTGTGTATGTATCTGAAAAGATGAATGTCTGACAAATTGTCCTAAGTTGTGTTTAGATAGATTTCAATTTCTTTTGTGGCTCTGATGTTTTTAGTAGTGCTTGAATCTGATTTTTTATATCCATGTTCTGTATAGAGTTTTTTGGAGAAGACTTGCAAGCTTCAGCCTGCATTGACTTTTTCTGAAGTTAGAAATTCTCCTTGCTTTCTATTATACCTGTTGAAACACTTTTAATTGGCCTTATTCTGTTTAAATTATTCTAAGACTGAAGTTTCCCCAATGTACTGATAGCAGAAATAGTGTTATGTACCTTTCTCTATTCTCTACAGTCTCTAAAATAAACATCTTTATTAAGTTGACCTGTATACCCCAGGATATTCCCGGTAGAGCCTCACTGTTTTCCAGTGTATCTCATTGTGTAGACAGGGCATCCTGTCCTATGAGACAGCCTATCACTAAAGGCTAAACTATACAGAGCACTAAACAATAAAAATTCAGAGTAGAGAGAGAGCATGGGGGAAGAATAGTTGGGAATGACTACAGGTACAAGGTAGAATTTGAATTGGATCTTGAGTATATGTACCATCACATAGGCAGAGAGGAGAGGGAAGGCTTTGTGGATGGTAGGAAAGGCATGCAGGTAAGTCCAGAGGAAGGAAATGGTGTGTGAAACACTGTACTGAAACCATACTGCCTGGAGGGGAGCATATTTGAGGGTAAGATATGAAATCAAGGAAAATCAGATAATACAGGGCCCTGTGAGAACGAATACAAAACGTCTGGGACATGAAAGGCTCAATATATTTTAGCAAATATTTTAAAAACATGATGAAATAAAGCTGTCTTGCAGTTTTTTGATCAGTGAAGGTTGCGAAAGGAGAATGTTAATAAAATTCATGTGGTGGGCATCAGATGTCCACAGATTAGTGCTGGGGAGGCCAGCCAGGCAGCTGAAGGCATGGACTAGATCACCTTAAGATGGAACAAGAGAGAGCAACTCAGCACTTTCTCAAGTAATAAAAGCACCGAGGTATATTTGAATATAAGGAATGGAGAACAGTTAGGAGTCAAATAGCCCAGATATTTTAGCCTATATGGCTAGAAAAAAAAAAATGGTAGCGTCTTGAGAAAGAGAAGACATTAAGAAAGGAAAACCTTACTCGGAGGAGAAGGTAAGTTCTCTTTTGGACTAGATCTGGGGGTGGCAGCAAGTCATCTGAGCAGAAATCACTTGCAAACAGAAGAGGGTGAATACTTATTGTTATAACATTACTGTTATAACTGTAGATGAATACTTATTGTGAATATATTTGACACTAAGTGTTAGGATTATTTCTAATTTTAACGCCTCTAGAATTTGTGACAAGAAATTAATGAACCGACAAAGATTATTAAAGGTGTACAAATCCTTTACCAATGTAGCTGAACAACATTATGTTGTAATATGACCCCTTTCCCACTGGTTTTAAGATCAGTCAGTCAGCAAATAGTCATTGAACTTGATGAGCCAAGTATCGAGCTAGAGGCTGAGGATACGGTGCTGAGTAAAACAAGCACAGATCCTGCCCTCGTGGAACTTACACTCCAGCAAGAAAGACCAACACTATAACTATTTCCAGACACCAGAAACTGTGAAAGGTAAAGAATTATTAATCGTTAAATGCTCAGATATTCCATTAGGAATTGAGAGATGGTTTGGGAGTAAGGAAAAGTATTTTGAAGACATTTAATGTAAAGGCTTCTTGTTGGATTTTATTAGCCTACATTTGTATGAATGTGTGTTTTAATAATTTGACTAAAGACCATGTAACCATGATCTTTAATTGATTACAGTGTCCTCACAATAAGATACAAATGATTGGTTCAGCTTATGCATCTATTTGATTCTTTGTGGCTCTGTTCTTAGAATCTTGAGTTGATATGAAAATCATCATTTGATATTATTTCTGGGTCATTTCCCCACCATCTTCAAGTCAAATTAGAAGATGTATTATGATGTTATATATAAATCTTTTCTGTCACTTATTAGATATTTTAGACATTAGGAACTACTTTGCTTAAGTTTGACACTCTTTCCAGAAGTAACATTCTGAATTCTACTTTTAAACAGACTAAGCAACCAATTAAATGTTCCTCTGTTAGTTGGAAATACATGGAGGCCATGGGGAGGCAGTATGTGCAAGAATAGCCAACTGGAAACCCTATACCTGTATTTTCAATGACAACATTATTTGGTTTAATGCAGTTTTAACACCAGTAATAGCGGAGATATGACCATCTCAAAAAGTAGGTGTAGTTCACGTAGACGACAGTAGCATCGATCTTATCGTTCCACCAATGTTGAAACAACTCCAGTGAACTTCCTGTAACCTGGTTCAGCAGAGATTGTTTCAACACTGAGGGAATGAGGAATCAGAACTTCTGCCCTTAGAAGAACCATAATAATCTGAGGCCGCTCCTGGTCTGGTTCATGTTTGAGCATTGACGATGCAATTTTTCCAGTGGTAGCTGAATGTTTCAGTGATTTTCTTCGGAAAATAACATATACACTGAGGCATTCTGTTATGTATATAACATCCAGATATATGTAGATATAAATATATAGCCATTACATCTATATAATTCTGATCATGGAATTACTACTGCTTAAAGTAACATGTAAATTTCATAAAGTTCATTGATTAACTTTATGCTAATTATTTCATAGTTAAAAATAGCTAGTGAGGTGGTATAATTTTCAGCAGTAAAGGGGTAAAACAGAAGCAGTAGTGATTAAGCCACCAAGCAATGTGAAAAACAATATTCAGCTTATCATAAGTGTTATGTTTATTCTATGTATTTCTGGAATGTAAATATATAATTTTATGCTCACATGAAAATAGAAATGAGACATTAAGGGCATGTTGCTTTTCTGAATAAAGACTGAAATTCAAAGTTTTGCATTCAAGCCATCTTGCATGATTCTTCCAAAATCAAACAAAAACCACCTCTTAATTGTTGTCCTACGTAGCAGTTTAGCCACCGTATATGTGATGTCACTCCTAAAGGTTCCAGTAGATGGCGCCACACATACGACCACCAAGCTGCCACTGACAGCTGTAGTCCGCAGCCGAAACATCACTGTTCTTTCAGTTAATATTTTGAGTGCCTCCCACATGCCAGGCACTGTTCTAGGTTCTGAAGATTCAGCAGTGAACAAAACTGGCAAGGTCCCTGCCCTCATGGAGCTTACATTCTAGAAAGTTTCATCCACACTAATCATGGGGTCCAGAGGTAAAGCAATCTATTTGAATGGCCGTGTGCTTAAGCAATTCCTACTTTGATTAAGACAATCAGCCTTCTTGTGTGTTACAGGTGGTTTCTAGAAGTACAGAGACAGAACAAGTAGAGAGCTGTTCTGTGTAGAACTTTGAGGAATGGTCCAAACCTACTGAATGTGGGGATCCATGCTACTGGGTTGAAGGGAGACATTCCTATTGATTGCCACAGACAGAACTGCTCTAACAGGACTATGAATCCAGAATCCACAAGCTGATGTAAACGACTTTCCATGTCACCATTCTTAATAATGATAATGTCTACGTTCAGATTACTTGTAGCTTTCAGTTACTCATACCTTTCAAAATAACAAAGTATAAAATGGAGCTCTGTAAAGTGTTAGCCCTGCTTTTTCCAGGTAGGATCAGATGCCTGGTTGGTGTCCTACGTACTTTCTACCTGAGCATTATATAAACAGAACTGCCGTATATTATCATAAACTCAACACAAATAGGGGACTACAGCTAAGTGAACAACAACAACATAAAGTAGGTTCTTCTGAGAAGCATTATGTCTTCATCATTGTTGTCATTGTCATCGTCATCACTACCATCTTTTTAGCACTCACTAAGTGCCAAGCACTGTTCTAAGCCTATTGTATTACCGCAGGTAAGAAGAGAAAGTGAGTGGGTAGTTTTGGTAAAAGTAGATGAGGCTAATGGAATGCAGTGACACAAACTGATAGTTTTTAAAGGCCATTTGGAAATCAGGTCGGTAGAATTCAATAAATATATTGGTAGTGGTTAGTAATGTATCCAAGAAGTGACATTTTAGAATAATTAAAGTCAGCGTCGTTTAAAAATTTCCTTTTCTCTAGAGAGCATCAATGTGGAACATAACGAGTGTTTTAGAAGGAAACTGATGTATGAAATTTTTTATGGACAAATCCTCCAAATCCAATAGGTAACCCAAACACACAGAAGCAAAATTTATGTTACAATGAAGAGAGCACAAAGCCATTTAAGTACCCTATGCAATGTTTGCTAGTAAAAAAAAAATGCCCACAAACCATAAGACACCTGTTGTGCTCATGCAAATATATGAAATTCTTTCAGTCTTTGAATTTTAAAATTAGGTAAGAGTTTTGAAAAGTGACTTTTTTTAAACATACAAAAAGTTATATACTCTTTGTAAAAGAAACAAAAAACAAAAAACGGTGACTGGATAATACTCAAACTTTCTTATTATCTAGTAGTTACTTTATGATTTCTTCTATCTATGTCTAGTTATATGCTTTATGAAATTTAAAAATATTTACACATAGTTGATCACATAGGATTTCATTTGAGATGAATAACAATATCAGTATGAATAGAATATACCAATATTTCTGCACCTCTAGAATATGACATAAGGCTTAGACATTTACAGACGAAATAAAATATTCCAGTAGTTTCTACAATATTCTTGCTGAAAATTTATTTCGAAGAGCATGAAGGTACCTACATTTCCAAGTACTGGATTACTTTTAGCAAATTATACTGTACTTTTATCTGAAGATTAAAATAACATGACAGTCTTACATAATAAAATAAACTATCCTCATTCAAACAGGTACAGAAGGGCTACATTAGCAATCATTCCCATAAACTTTGACGTATAACATTACAAAATGTAAATTCCCTTAAAATTAAGTTAACATGTATGAAATGTTAGTAATAGTTTTCCTTGAATAATATTAAGAGGAGATTTGTTAACAAAACATTAAAGAAAATTATAGTTTGGTTTTTGGAGAACAATGTCTACCCTTGCAAATGCCCAATCATAATCGTACTACTTCAGCATTCTTGACTAACAGCTTAAAATAACTTCGTTTCACTTACATTCAGAAAGAAGAAGAGGGTCAAGCACCAGCGTGTAAGTGTGAACCTCATCTTGGGCTTTTGAAGACGGTCTTCTAAGACCTAGAAAAATATAAAAGTAACAAAGACATTTAAATTAATACAGCTCTAACATTGACTGTGGCCTTTTTTTCTTGTCTATTTGACTTGAAGAAGATCAATGCCCAAAGACACCCTAAATACAATCCATGTAAACACAGTAAGCTTGTGAGGCAAATGCGGCAGCATGTTCCATTGCCCTTCCTCTCAGCCAGGAAGACTTGTCTGGTTGTTGTCTAAAGTTCTCCCATTAAGAAATTCTGGAGCCCCCTTTACATATCAGGACATAAGAGATTCTGAGAAATCAAGAGTAATCAATGTGGACTTCAGTTAACACATGGCATCAGAAGAACTGCTGAAAATTTTCAATGGAAACATCCACAAAAGTCACCTCAATGGACATGAATAAAATCTGTGCTTTGTAAAGGACTAATAGCTATGCCTTCCAGGTAATCAAAAGCCAACTTTTATTTAAGCAGTCTTACTTGCAGCCTTGAGTATTTTTCTTTCCTACAAATTCTTCAAGCGTCAAGTTGCTATTAAAAATAAATTTATTCCATAGTAAGGCTTGTTTGTTCCCTAAGAGGTCACCAGTCCTACTCAAGAGCACAACAGTCAGAAACAGGCTGCTTTGTCACAAATAAGAGTTCTTGGTTACTCTGCAGGTAATTTTACACAAGGAAAAATAAAGGAGTGAAATTTTAAATATATACATTTCATCAGCGGGATTTGTGTGAAAACGATTTCAACTAGGGGTGAATGGTTATCATTGCATCTAACACTCTACTCATTGCACCACTTTTAGGTTTTACATATTCTGCTAAGTTTCAGTTAGTATCTACACTGTAAGCCTGTTGGGCTGCACCTTGCAGGCCTGCAAGCCTTGAGACCAAAGAAATGGCCTGGAGACAGCGGTGGAAACATCCATGGTTTACTGGAGAGGGTATCTTAAGCAAAAGGTCCTGGAGCAATATCCCACGTTTTACAGCAGATGGCAGGCAGGACATGACAGCAAGCTTTGCAACTTGCAGGAGAAGGAGGCTACCATTTATAAGGGGAATTGATATCAGGTTGGCTCAGTTACCAGGGGAACCAGCAGCTGGGGCAGGGAGCAAACACATAGGCAGGTACTACTTAAGCTCTATAATTAAGAGGATTGGAGAGTCACCTGAGAGAAGCAGAGCCTGCTCGAGCAGGGGATGTACAGAGAGCAAGAGAGCAGCCATCTTGAATGGCCTGACGATATACTCCACTCCTACACACCCTGTAGGAGCCTTACAATCTTGATCCGCCCCTTTTCCGTGATATCCCTGGGGTCAGGAATACAGAGGCACACTCCAACCAAATACCACACATGCAATACAGATACCAGAGGCTTAAGAGTATCACGAGTCCAAGAGGTGGGCAAACTTTGGAGCCAGGCGCTTATCAGGTCAATTTTTCATGGAAGTCCAGATGAGGATGAAAATGTCCTCTCGCGACAGGGACCCAATCAAACTCATTTCACAGTGAGGCTACCACTATCACCCAGTCCACAGATTCCTTCCACTTAGACTAAGGAGGGAAGGCAAGATGTTTAACAGGCACAACACAGGGTAGATCATGACTATTAAGCAAAATACAAGCAGTAAGAGCACGCTGAGATCACATTGCCCCTGCATGTGGTTTTCATCCTGGCCTGCAGTACCCCACCACCTCTCCATCCTCAGTCCCCACAGCCAGTGCCGAACACTGGAGAGGCCTGTAGCAACGGACCACAGGGTTAATATGATGGTGCCTTTCTCCAGTAGGGGGCCTGGATTAATTACCTCAGTAGTTTTAGTTGGGGCTGGGTAGAAGACAGGTGAGACCTGTAAATCCCTTTCTAATCCTCTTCCCCACAAGGCAGCAAACCCAAACCACTGGGGACTTGCCTGCCAGTCCTAGGGTCATTTATCATGTGTTCCCCTGGGGGTAGATCCTGTGTCAAGGGCAAAAGCAAGTTATTGGCCTGACCGACCATTTGGCAGCAGTCGTTAGGTGGTCGACAGTTGAGCTTGGATTGTGTTGACTAGTTGCCTCTGGGTTAACAGGGCGTCAGCACTGGGACGATTGCTCCTGGGACATGTCCTGATGTTGGAAGAGAGAGTTTTCTGTGTCAGTTGCTGAGTAGCCCCTTCATCCTTTCAATTAGCCCAGCAGCACAGGGGCTGTAGGGCGGGGGAAATGTCAGTGTACGGCATTTGTATTGGCCCATTCCTGAACTTCATGACCAGTAAAGTAGGGGGTTTTGGGTTTTTTTTGGCCGCGTTGGGTCTTCATTGCTGCATGCAGGCTTTTCTCTGGTTGCGGCGAGCGGGGGCTACTCTTCGTTGTGGTGCGCGGGCTTCTCATCACAGTGCCTTCTCTTGTTGCGGAGCACGGGCTATAGGTGCGCAGGCTTCAGTAGTTGTGGCGCACGGGCTTAGTTGCTCCACGGCATGTGGGATCTTCCCGGACCAGGGCTTGAACCTGTGTCCCCTGCATTGGCAGGTGAATTCTTAACCACTGTGTCACCAGGGAAGCCCCTAAAGTGGGGTTTTTTGCATTACTCTATGACTCCGTAGACCTCGAGTAATGACTTCCACCTGTTGTAACACACTGTAGACTGCACACAGCTGTTCCAAGAAACAATACTGTTGCTCTGCCCCCTTCCGCAGCTGAACCAGAAGCCAAGGACATTCTGCCGTTGCCACATGCCCCAGCCAAACCCTCTGGTGAACTGGCCACCTCCAACTGACAAGCCTGTCCCGAGGTAACACCCCTAAAGCCTGTGTCTGTAGTTGTTTAGGGGTGGTGGGTCGGGGGTATGCTCGTCTTACCCGACCAGCTAACATCCAAGTACCTGATAGATAATCCAAGTTCTTACACTTTGTATTCACCAGCCATCCCCATGCAGTCAGATGAGCCACGAGCACGGGGCTGCTACTTTCACATCGGAAGAAGGCTCTAAGGTTAACAGGATGTCATCAGTATGACGGAAGAGAAAAACATCTCCCATGGTAGTCAGCTGCCACAGAGCCCCACATGCTAGTGGACGGCCTCCTCAGGATCACCTCTGCAACTTTCCATACCCCAGCCTTATTTTCCGACATCTCAGCACTCACGGGAGTTTCTTCGGCCTCCTGGTTGGCTCACCAGTGGTTGGGCTGCACTTCGCAGGCCTGCAAGCCTTATAGCTGCCCAGCCTTGGGACCAAAGAGCCTGGAGACAGCAACAGAGACTCAGTGGTTTTTTGGACGGGGACTCTTAAGCAAAAGGTCCTGGAGCGACACCCCCCTGTTTACAGCAGACGGCGAGCAGACAGACCGTGGTAGCGTCCTTCACTACCGGGTGGGGCGGGGTGGGGCGGGGTGGGACGGGGCGGGACGGGGCGGGGCGGGCAGAGAAAGAGGCTACCATTTATAGGGGAACTGACGTCATGTTGGCTCAGTTACCAGGGAAATCAGCAGCTGGGGCAGGGGGTGAGCACGTAGGCAGTTACTAATTAGGCCCTATAATTAAGGGGATTGGATATTCATGTGAGAGAAGCAGGACTTGGTGGATCAGGAGATGTACAGAGCAAGAAAACAACCATCTTGAGTGGCCTGACCATACAATGCCTAATATACTTGTCCCCAAGAGTAAATTGTATTCAATTCACATATTAGCATGCCAGGAAATTGAGAAAGTATAACTTTCAAGTGTCATCTTATATGCTGATCATTACCCCTTGTTTCTGACACTTCAAGCCCACTAGTAAGTTGAAAACACATACATGTATTGACAGCCGAGGCATTACAAGGGACGCAAATATGGGTGAGACGGATGAGATGTGGTTTCAGTACAAGAAACAGCATGGTGGGGGGGATGGGGGCAGGGAGCAGTACGAATGATGTAAGACATGTGCTAAAGTAACTATCATACAGCCTGGGTAAAAAGTTCAATAAAATGGCACAAATACAGAGCTTTATAAAGGATCATTTCTGATTGGGGGAACGAGAGAAGGATTTGTATTTTGACCTAAAATTTGAGAACTGAATAGGGTTTTAAGAAACAAAGACCTACATAGGCAGAGAAAGCAGATTTAAAACAAGATGTGGAGATAGAAAAATGTAGGGGTAGCCGAAGAATAAGGAATACAAAACTTTAATTTAGCTGGAGCTTAGAGCTTCTCAGGAAGTGAAAATAAGGGTAGAAAAGTAGGTTTTGAGTGCCTAGAAAATTTATTACCCAAACCACCTTTTGGCACTTTGTGTGCCTGCCACACATTTTCATCTATGTATGTACACAACTTAACAACCTGGCCTGATGAGAAACCTCTTTCAGAAAAGGATTATGTTTTAGCTATCTATAAATCTCTGGCACGGCACACAATCACTCACACGTGATTGTTATTTTTGATAATAATGGTGGTTTGTGGTCTGATGAAGTCTAGGAAGCACAGAACTCTCTTGAATGTATTATTTTTCCCTTTTTGATTCCTTGTACTCCCATGTCAGTGACTTCCACAATTATCCATGAACTGTCCAAATAGGAAACCAGGGATGGTCCTTGATTCCACCCACTTCCTTATACCTGACATCTAGTCTCTATGACTCCCATTCTATCAGCCCTTGGTATCTTGTTAAAGTGTTCACCCTTCTCCACCACCTTAGTTCAGAGCTCCATCTTTCTCATCAGGACCCTAGCAACAGCCTCATGACCAGTTTCCCTACTTCAAGTCGCCATCCCTCCAACCCATTTCCTATACCAAAATGAGTGTAATTGTATCTTCCTTCAGTGATTGCCTCCAGACTTTAAGTAAATGCATAAAACCCTTGGCTAGGAATGTAGTAATACAGGGCCCCCTTTAGCAACAAGCACCAATATGATCGTGGAGGGGAATAAAAAGGGAGAAATTAAAGTTGTCTCCTAGATAGCTAGCTTTGGTACAAGGACAGATAATAAAGGAATTCAGCAAGGGGAAGTAGGGAAGAGGAGGAGCTCTTCTCCCTTAACTGGGAATATTATTACCTGCGTACTGG